CATTGAGAAAAACAGAGGAATAAAATAGGGCAGTGGGGATTTGCCTTGTGAGCTTATGCTGTGAATGAACTCATACATCAGAGTCAGAATTTACCTTTGAGGATCTACCTCTGAACAAAGCAGTAAGACATATCTCATTTCTAGGCTCCAATCCAGAATTTTGGAGGTAAAGATCCTCTTATGAACTCACATGTAAAGGAGTACGTCTTTTTAATAGACACGGCAATTACTTTGGTTTCTCGTTCTGTGAAAGTGATGCTTTACCGTTTCAGTCGTGTATCTGAATGATTTGCTGAAATGACCTGGACGGACCTTTTGTAATAAACAGTTTGATGAATTTGGGACAAAACTCTCCCTAACTTCCAGATGAGACACCTTCAGGGCCTACAGTGAGTATATAATGGATCCAGATTAGTAATATTTTTCATATTCCGCTTCCTTCTTAATACTTATTGGTAAAGCATTAATCTTAACAATTCAGCCACTAGTTAAAAATCTATAAAACACTGCTCATGTTCCTGTCTCAGCTTTAACAATACTCAGCCTGTATCTTCCTAGGGTAGCCCTGGCCATGGTACCTGTTATCAGTGTTAGCATTTCCTGCCCCTCAGTGACAGTAACAGACTTTTAGCTATAAAATTCTGTGGCAGTGTTAGCTGCAGTTTGAATAAAACACCACGCATGCCTTTAGGCTTGCAAGTTCACTTGTGTGCCAGTTCTTACAACACTGATAACTCAAAAACTGGTGATGACAACTTGCTGGGTTTTTTTAGCAACTGTCTGGATAAATGCAGCCCCATTACCCATTACTCTGTTGGGTTTCTTGTCAGCTGAGAATAATAAAACTGAATTGCAAGTACTTGGCTACAACTGGCAGAGAGAAGTTAACTTGCTGGATTTGGGCCAGGTTGTCGATAATGGTAATATTTATGTTGATGCTTTTGTATTCTCCCCTAACTATTTTTTTTACAAAGTAAATATTTAGTTAACAAAAAAGTGATACTGTAAAGTGAAAAAAAGATCAAGAACAGATTTAGGAAGCAGTATATTTCTCTTTTCTGCTCTCCAGACTTTGCTAATTCTGGGCTCATAACATGTATTGCACTTGAACCTTGGTTTATAACCTCATTTATGGTAATGAATGTCAGTTAGGAAATAAGAACATTCCTTACTCTGCCTTTCCATCTTACTCCTTTTGCAATAAGCTGAATTCTGGTGTCTGATGAGCTGGTGATTGGCCATCCTGAAATACAACACTGCAGTACTTAAGGTTGTTTGGTGTGGGTTTTTTTCCCCAGACATTTAAACTCTGAACTGTTGGATTCTAACTGAATTGAGCTCTTGAAAGGGGTTTTGTAATTTGCATTTTTGTTTTCCCTGCAGTAAAAAAAGCGAAGGACATGTTTCCTTTGCAGTACTCTCTGAAGATTTTTATTCTTGTTTTTTTGCTGACTCTTGGAAATTCAAATACTCAGAACAGCTTTCTATGAATAAATATTCCCAAATATATTTTGCTATCTAGAGTTTTAAAAATTGCTTTAAAGGTTATTTTTGGTTCTTAGTGCCTTCATATCTTGCAGAGTTTCAAAGTATGTTATGCTTTGAAGAGGTGGCATTGGAAATGATTCTATAAAAAGGTTATTGGCTTTCATGCCACAGTGGTTATTCAATTTTTTCTGCTTTAATTTCTTTTCTTCCTCCGAGTGTCCCAGCTTTAAACTAATCTTTGGCCTTTGCAAGTAGATCTGGGCTGGTCAAGCCCCTTCCCTGCAGCAGGCAGTGCCCTGCACCTCGTGGTGACAGTGCACACTTCAGCCCTCAGTGAAGTTGTCTCTGTGCTTTAGAGGTTTGTTTTGGTGCTCCACAGGGGACAGCTTTCTCCATGAGCCTGGTCCTGCAGGTGCCATGTGACAAGGGCCTGAACAGCCTGGTCTGATCTGGCCCTGCTTTGTGCAGGGGTGGGACAAGATGCTCTTTCCAGGCTAAAGACTTGGCTTAGGCAGAGGAGGAGCTTCTCTGTCTGGACCATGAGCAGGGTTGACCAGCAGCACTGGTTTGAACCTCGCCTCTTCAACTTCTCCTATCCCTGTCTCATTATTACATGTAATCCCCAGGTTTTTTCCCAGATTAGTCTAGATGTTAATTATGAGGGAAGCTGTATGTCAGGCACACTTGCAGATGAGTTTACAAGACTCTTACAAAAGAAAGTTCTTAGACCTGCAGCAGGAAGATGCTGTTACTGACAAGATCCTCCCTATGGCAGGACAGGAGCAGTCTGGTCTCCAGAGGATGGTGCCACCATGCTGTCCATAGAGACCTCCCCTCTAGCATTCACCCTGGTAGTGTTGAAGCACCTTAGGTGCCCAGCTTCATCAAATGTCTGTTTAGCAGGAATCTCACGCTACTAAAACTGGTTATGTCAATTATTAATTTTTTGCTTATATTTGATCCTCTGCTGTTTCACTTCACCTTGTACTAACTTGTCTTTCCTCTAAGCCAAAAGCAGTGTCCCTCAGCCTCCCTTCTTTTAAAAACATCCCAAGGTAATCCTTGACACATGTGCTGAAGGAGGAGTTTATGTTCTTTTTAGTTAATGTGACTTGGAACTGTGATTACTCGTAGATGTAGAAGATTTTTATTTCTTTTTCCTTCTACCCTCAATTCCTCCTTTTGGTAATAAGTCTATAAAATCAATTATGCACTGGGCTTTTTAGCTTTTGTTAATAGCTATCTAGCTACACTGAATAGAGTGTAATTGTGTAGATTGCCATGTGCTATCAAACTCAGGAGTCGGCTGTAGTTAAATCCACAGGACTGGTGTTTGAGTGCTTTGCTGTGTGTTGTGACAGACTGAATAGTCTTTTGTATTCTGTGTTGGTACCCAAAGTGCATGGAAATTATTTAGCATACCTGGTTATCATAACCAAGGCAAGCTATATAACGAGATGTTTTCCTTGGAGGTGGAGTGTTTCCTGCATGTTTGTTTATGCTGTTAGAGCTTTTTCTTATTAAATCTTTGTATATGGAGAATTAGATTTGAGAACTAAGTGGTGCTTCATCAGGGATGGTTTTGGTGGCAGTGTCACAGGAAGTCAAGGAACCACACTGCCTGGTGTGACAGCTTCCTGTCAGAGCAGAGGGCCATGGAGGGCAGCACTCTGTGATCTCCTGTGCCTGTGCTCGTGATTTTGCGTTTCCATTCTCTGCCTGATATTCAG